CTTTGTCACTCACTGCAGTGAGTACTGAGTTACATTTTTTTCTTAATTGAAAATATGAACCTCGACTGGCGAATTTGTGCTAATAGATTTTCAAACCCAAAAATCATTTATGTTGTTTTGCATATTTTCAACATTTTCCGATGCTCATCATTACTATGAGCTAGTATATTAATTTATCTCTTTAATTCATTTCTTATAAGAGTTTTAAGCTCTCAATATTTTATCCAGGAAAATGGTCTACAAATTTGAATTAAAAGCTTAAACAATTTTTTTTATATAAAATAAATTTCTCTTATTATTGACGATGAAATACAATGCAAAAATAATTCCAATGTAAATATTTACAAATTTCTATAGTTAAATTGACTATCGTAACACGTCTATCTCTCGGTTCAATAAGCATATCTATTTTTATATACTTCTGAAATTCGTACGTACGAAATCTAAAATTGATCCAATACAGTACGAGAAAATCAAGATGAACTGCGTAGTCCCATTGATGTCGGTAATCTTCCCATAATGCTTTGTAATGGCAGCAAATCCAATATTTTTTTCAAACACTCGTGTTGAAACTGAGCTGTGAAATTGGCAAGCTATAAAAAGACAAGATATCAAGAAGAAAAAGATATTGTGAGCTTGACGAGAATTTCTGTGGTTTTAATCGATGTCTTTTCGATTAAAATCCTCCAAAAACTAAAGGCACTTGCGAGGATTCCAATTCATTTTGGGGTTTCTATCAGAGGAAAATAAAAATCTAAAGGAGTCTCATCGTTGTTATTGCGTTGACAACCATTTGCCAATATCGTCTTGTTGGCTGAGTCTTACAACGACTCTTGGGAATTTGCAGGCTCACCTACACTTCAGTTTCAAGTCGAAAATCGAAATAATCGAACATAATTGCGGGACCAGTGCCATGTTTATCTGTTGCATTGGAATGGCTAGGAGTTGATGCTCCAGCTGACTAGTTGATGCTCCAGCTGACTAGTTGATGCTCCAGCTGACTAGTTCGTGCTCCAGCTGACTAGTTACTGACTAGTTAATGCTCCAGCTGACTAGTTCGTGCTCGAGCTGACTAGTTCGTGCTGCAGTAGTCGTATTACTCTTCGTACTGCATGCGTAAGTAATTCACACTCTAAGAGCTGCACTCAGCAGCAACGACTCAATGCACTGAGTGAATCAACTTAATCAGGACTCAGCAAGTAGCCGTCCATCCCGGTCCCTCAAATGGACCCTTTATGTGAGTTACCCTCACAAATTGTCCTCAAAAAGCTTCGCTCTCAAAGAGAAATTACATGACACTCCGGAGTGTTGTTCTGATTCTTGTACTTAGATAGAGTTTCTTACTTTTTTGAGTCCGAATTTTGCAACAAATTTTAATGTATTTCTTTTTAAATAAATCTTCACGTGTTTTTTTTGAAGTGGAAAATAAGTTCAGTCCGAACCGTTGCATGGTGATCGGAACGTAAAATTTATTGGAATTGGGAAATGAGGCCAGCTGCTGTAATTACCTTCAGTTTAAGAATTTAAAAAACTCAGAAAATGTATAATGGAAAATTCGATAAAAATTCGAAAACGAAATAATTCTTTAATTTGAGAGAAGATAAAAATTGACTCATCGTTAGTCGTAGTTAGTCGTCGCTACTTCTTAGCAAAGTAAAGGAAAATGTAGGCCGTATGTATGCTCATACACGAAATAGATCATAATATAATCCAGGTAATTAGTAAATTTTGAGTTTTAGTTAAATTTCTGTCAATAAATTCATAATTATTAATAAAACATAATTTCAGCACTTATTCGCAATAAAAACTGCAGCTAAGTATCTTTATTGCGCTTAAATTTTACAACTGTGCGCTAGTCGGAACCTGGCTTAGATAAAGCCACCAAATTGTTTGTAGGTTGCAGGGAGTCCTTCATCTTCCATCATCCTGCACCAGCAAAAACAATCCTTACTCCTCCTAATCGCCCCAATCCTTCAAAAGTTACACTTCATTCCTTGGATTGTTTTTATGGAACCGCTGGCAAAAATGAGCGGCCAACACAGAGATTCAATTCCCAGCAAAGTCGCGAAGGTCTTCAAAGACTTGCGCGTGGAAGACGAAAATAAAACTGCGTTTCTCGTTTTTTTAGAGATTTGAAAGACAATTTTTGTGGAGATGGTCGCAGTTCAAAGATGACTTGTTATAAACAGCTTATGTATAAATTTTCATACATTAAATATTTCTTCATTCTAGTTTGTGTGTTTCGTATTTATTATTCATTTGTTACTAACTTTTTGTCTTAAAAATATTTGACAGTTCTTGCTTTAACAAGGCACTGTATATATGTTGAGGTGAACATCGAGGATACTTGTCATGTCGGGATATTGCTTTTAACGGTACTTATAATCCTATGAACAATAAAAATGGATTGGAGAAATGAACTGGGTCAGCAAATGAATTTTGATATTAAAATGAGCTTTCAAAATGCAATCTGTATTACAATTTGTTGGACCTTGAATAAAGGGATTGTGATATTTGGTTCAAGTGATAGCGGCAATATTTATTTCAGGAATTTATTATAGTAGGTTGGGTCGCATTATATACATAGACTGTCATCAGTTCACGAAATGCAACGCGAAACACAGTATTTTAATATTTTTATTATATCTTCATTCAAGTTAAAAATCCAAATTAAAAATTTGAAAAATTCAAATTAAAAATTGACATAAGTTGCTCAGTAACCGCTTTATCATGCATACATTTAAAGTAAAATCTAAAATGCGTAAGGTCGATTGTTTTCTCATGTAAATAGTGGCTGACATCCGCGACTGAATACGAAGCCACGCAGTGTTTGCTCAAAATGTCAACTGAAGCTTTACATCAGCAAATTTTTGTCTTTTGGTTGATAACATCCTTCTTATCATCGAACCATTACACACAAAAAAAAATAAAGCGGACGGCTAGATTTTTTGCAGCTGCCGTCAGCCCAAGACGCATTGTAGAACTGCTACCAAAAAACTATATTTGTCAAGGCTTCTTTTGAAGCCAAGATAAAAATGGCCGAATATCCGGATGCTCTTTGATGCTAATATCTGTTCTGAGATCCGCCAAAAAATACTTAGAAGGAAACCAGTGCCATTAATTTTTATTTGCTGATTCCTGACATTTACCAACTCCATGTAGGCGATATACGCAGACAAATAACTGGGACAAAACAATAATAATCTCAAACTGATCAAACTGATTCTCAAAAGATTTTTAAAACAAATAATTGTTCTTGAAAAAATAATTGTTTTTACGATTTTTCTCTCCAATTTTTTTCTTTCAAAATTTTCTTTCCAATCACGTAAAATTATTCGGAGTAAATCGATTTTTTGCTCATTTTTATTGCAGGAGCGCAAAATCCTGCTTCACTATGATGAAGGGTGCTTTTGACATGCAAATTAGAACCCAGACTGCAATTATGGGCAGCTAATTCAACAAGAAATTCTTTCACTGGGGGAACTGATGTGATAATCGCAAAAATACCATGTTTTCCTCAACGTTCAACGTTTCCCAGAACAATCTGATGCCTATGAGGTTTTTAAAAAAATTTACGAATTAACGCTGTCCATACCCTCCGATCGTCTAGCGTGAAAACCTCTCGAATCCCTCCCATTATTTCAACCCAGCTCTTCATTTCAAATCCTTTCTTCATTCGAACCCCTCTCTCTTCATCCCAACCCTCCCTTCATCCCAAACCCTCTCCTCATCCCAACCCCTCTCCTCATTCCAACCCCTCCCCTCATAAGAAGAACGTCATCGACGAGACGTCGGGACGTCCGATATTCAGCGTAGACGTCGGCACGGGCGAGATCAGCACGGCGCTCTGCTGCCTCGACAGGAAACGTACGGGCCGGTACGGGCTGCTGGTGGCTGCTACAGATGGCGGCGGGCTGCAAGGTGGGGGAAATATCCGTTTAATAATTTACTAATACTAGTAGTAGTATAATAACAACGTATGGGAGAGTAGTATAATACGTATAATAATGCATAAAATATAATTTATTAATATTAGTTTAAAGTCGACTCGACTCGACTCGACTCTTAATAATAATAGTGTACAAACATGATTCTAATAAATTATTTTAGGGATATCATTCTGCTAATATATATAGTGAGTTTGAGACCTATTTGTTTGTTGGTATCATTAAACCTTTTCAAAGCAAATTCAAAAAGCATATTTCAGCAAAGTTAATTTCCGTGCAACTCTATTTTGAATGGCCATCTTGATGCAGTCAGAATAAGAACAAAGTGTTCAGACTTACAATGAATTATTAACATGAATACGGAAACACGACATGAATACGTTATTGCATGAATAAAACATATCGCTATGTGATTTACAAAGATGATTAAAAATGACGTCAATCATAACGCAAAAACTAAAGATCGAAAATTTAAAACATGATGGCAATTATTTCTAAATCCCAACAACGAAGCGGCAAATTGATTTTTTTAATAATATATTATTCATAAAATATTATTATATTGATCAACGTAGGCACGTGCACGGTCCTCATCGACGTACGTGACGTGAACGACGTGCCCCCGAGATGGGCCCGTACCGAGTGGACCGTAAAACTGTGAGGGTAAACTGTGAGGGTAAACTGTGAGGGTAAACTGTGAGGGTAAACCGTGAGGCTAAACTGTGAGGGTAAACCGTGAGGCTAAACTGTGAGGGTAAAGTAGCTATATAAAACACTACATCATAATCATGAACGTTTATCCGCGAGTCGTCTATATTCGTGCAGAAGTATGTATGTATAAACACGACCATGTATACATAATATAATTTGATATTATGTGTCTTTTCATTTAATGTACAATTGTACATCATATAATTAAAAATAAAAAAGAAAGTATAATAATAGATTTTTTAAAGAAGAATACCATACACCCCAGGTCGCATCAGACCGGGGTCTATGATATAATGAATATTATATTATTTATTAATATAAAATTATAATTTATGGGCATATATGCACCAGGTGGTGCCAGACAGCGGGGAGGGGTGGCAGCTGGTGCAGGTGGAGGGTCTCGTGGGGGGTGGGGGGGCGGTCTTAAGGTCTAAAATCCCCCTGAACTACGAAGACCACACACACAGAGGGGGTCTGCAGCTACAGGTGCAGGTCACTGATCAGGTCAGCTTAGAACTTAGAACTTAAGTCGTGAAATGCTTTATTTTTCTAAGTCATAAGGTGAATGAGTTGAAACTGAATTTTCATTTCATATATGTTAAAGTTGAGATACCAAAGCATTTTGATTTTCAAACTTTTTATTCTTCATTTTTTGATAACTTTTATTTTGCTTTGCGTGAAAACAGTTCTGCTTTTCTGTTTTTTTTTTCAAAAAATTGTTTGTATTTCCCGAATATCTTTAGTTATGTTTGCATTATCTTACACTTAAAGAATTGAGTGAAAAATTGTCCAAATAGCAACGAACTCTTTGCTCTTAAGTAGGTTTTCTTTACTTAAGTTGGCCTGGCAAAATAGCGTATCAGTGCTACATGCAGAAAGTGTGCCGCGATTCTGACAAAATTACCCATTATTTTATAAGTATAAGTGTATAATATTAATGTATAATAATACTTATACACTTTATTATAAGTATATAATAAGCGTATAAGTATAAAAATTAAGTGTATAACTTCGTCGTGGTGTCCACTTCAGGGCGAGGGCAGTTGGGACGACCATCAGAGGACAGGGCTGGCGACCGTGACCATCGTGCTGGTGGACACTAACGACAACTCCCCTCAGTTTGATGGCCAGGAGCGGACCATCGAGATGGCCGAGGACGCGGCCAGCGGCTCGGTGGTCACAACGATGGTGGCCACCGACCAAGATGAGGTGATTGTTATAAATTTTTTAAATGAGTTTGGAATAAAAATGAATTTATTTGCGCGGATAAATTAACTGCAGTAAAAAATTCGTGGGTGATTGTCCGAATTTTGACGAAATTTTCCCACCAACAGCACGAGCAGAGAAGGGTCGTAGCACTGATACGCTGGTTTGCTGCGCCAAAATGGGTTAAGATGACCTACTAAAAAGTCTACTTGGACAAATTCTTACTGATTTCTCTGAGAGAACCTAGTATCCCGTATGATGTTAATCAACATGTTTTGTTAATCAACAATTAAAAAAAATCAACAATAAATTATTTTAATGTCGCAAAATTTTACAAAGCGCCGTGCTATTTTTATAATAATTAATCAACGCCTGAGCAAATTAGGAGTAATAATTACCTTCTTTGTTAATTAAGTGATTTTTTAAAAAAATAGTAAACATTTTCCGAAATATTTCGGAAATTTTTTTAACATTATTTCGGAATAATTTTAAAATTAGTTCGGTCGGAATACTTTTCAGAATTGTTTCGGGATAATTTTTAAGTTTAGGTTAGGTTAGGTTAGGTTAAAGGGTTTCTTGTCCCACCCCCGCAGGGTTCAGGGGGTCTGGTGAGCTACGGGATCTCGCCCCCCAGTGACCCGCGGGGGACGTTCGCCATAGACACGGGCGGGACCGTCCGGCTGGCCCGGGTCCTGGACCGGGAGAAGACGTCCCGTCACGTGCTGCACGTGCTCGCCTGGGACAGCGGGGACCCGCCTAACACGGCCACTGGGACACTGACTGTGAGTCCCACATGAGTCCCGAGGGATAGATAAAATAAAAAATCAGCTCACTCTTTAAAAATAAAAACCCAGGGATAAAATTTTTCTAATGAGGAAAATTCATTTAATAAAAATTTGTGAAGATATTGTATTATCTTCATTATCAACTCCCACAACCCAGACCATATTTGCCCTCACTATAAACTCACTATCAACTCACTATCAACTCACTATCAACTCACTATCAACCCAGGTCACAGTCCGCGATGTCAACGACAATCCGCCAATCCTGATTGGCCCGCGAGTGCTGGCCCTGCCAGAGCTGGACGCATCCAGCCCGTCCAGGTCCAGGACGATATTTAACGTCACGCTGGACGATCCAGACGACTGGACAGCTGGCAACGGACCTCCTTTTGAAGTTAAAGTTGATCCAGTTGTTGAGGTGGCGCTGCAGAGCTTCTTGAAGTTGTCGCACGAGCCAGGTGTGACGGTAATATTCTTGATTACTGAATATACTGAAAGTGTACAATGCAACAAAATAATTACGAAGTCCTCTTAGGAATTAATTTAGACATACAAATTAAATCATTTTTAGATGGCAAAATTTGTTGATTTATGCGCGTGCGATTAATGACCAGAGGATTTGTTGATTTAAATTATCAGAAAGTCAGACAATTCTTCAGATGACGTTGGTATGATAATTTAAATCAATAAATTCTCTGGGCAATAATCGCACGCGTATAAATTAAATGTGCACCTAAACATTTCAGTTATCTTCACTTCAACACAAGAACTTAAGATAGTATCATTCATATTCGATAAAATTCAGCTTCAAATTCATCATTCCATTGTATGGAAATACATGGATGTTTCAACATATGGAAGATGTTTCACCCCACCCCACCCGGACAGGGATAGTGACAGGAGAGGATGGTGTGGTGGTGACAGTGACAGCGATGGTGGAGCGTGAAATGGGCGGTGTGCTGGCAGTGCCGCTGATAGTGACAGACTCTGGCACTCCTCCTCTGTCTGCTACCGTCACTCTCACGCTGGCACGGTCGTCTGGTGACAGAACTGTGTTGTCTGAACACAAGTTCATTCAAGTCGCGTCCATCAAGGTGGGCATTTCTACAATATATAATGTTCAGTATTACTATTATATTTGCAATTCTCTATTATATGTGTATATAGATATCCGTAACTTTCTTTTATATGCATTACTGTGCAATTATATTGGGAATTTATACAATATGCAATGTTCAGTATTACTATAATATTTACTATGCACTATTATATTTACATAAGTATCCGAAACTGTGTTTTATAAGCAGTACAGTGCAATTTTAAGCGTATCTTCTTTTAAAAGCACTATAATGCATTCAATGTGTCGGTGGTTTACTACATCATCGGTTATCATCAACATTTGATAACAATTATTAACTATAATAAATAATAATAATAATAATTTAAAATACAAAGTACTTGGCTTGTTGTTTTGTTACACCTTGTGTCGAAGCAGCACTTGTAATGGATAACTCAAGCGATATAATATAAATAATTTGTACGCTAAACTGCCGTATAATTGTTCTGCAGTGTAAATTAGCGTTAGAAAGAATTAACCAAGTGACTTTTACAGCAACTAAATTGGATATAACTCCATTAACGGACCTAAAAATATAAAATTTCTTATTTTTAATCCAGCGAAATAAAAATTCTCGCCCGTTTCTCGCAGCTCAATTCTCGCAGCTCAAGACCTTTTCTTCATATATATAAAAAAATGTTTTTGTCTTGATAAAAAGTGAGTAATTAAATGGAACGTTGATTGTTGTGAAACAAAAGCTTCGTTCTTCTGAAAAATGAGAGCGGACATTCTTCCATTTGCCGAGAACGGCGGTGGAAGACAAACGATGGCATGGGCGCAATACCAAAGCTTTATGGTGCTAATACGGCCATCATTTTTAATTGCGCGATCATTTTAAATGATAATACATCAGAAGCGTTGTAATTAGATATAATTTCACTAAAACAATAAATAAAGTTTATCTAATAAGATGTGAAAATTCTGTGTATGTTAAATCGCACAAAGTTAGGCAGATGAGAATCAGACAGTATAATATTTTATTTTATGATACTGCCTCGATTACTCTTGACAATGAATTTTAATTCATAACCATTCAATATTCGTACAGCAGGATGAATGACTGCAATTTGTGAAATTATCGCATGCGAATTTCTGCTAAAATATTGACGAAATTTTAAAAGAATTACAGTTTAAAAAGTTTGCAGTTGGCAAGTGAGTCTTTAAATGAATCTCTAAATTAAATAAATATTTAAATTGACTGAAATCTAATTGAATTTTTAAATTTAGGTTATTCGCTTTTGTGAAATGATATTCTAATGGTGAGATTCTTATAATCTCAAATATATACATTAAACTTAGTTAGTTTTTATCTTTAATAAAAATATTTTTTAAGCCATGCACCGCCTATATATGGGCTGTTAGTATGGTTGTTATATTATATTCGCTTCGAGTGCTCGGAACAATCATAATTATCATAATAAAAAAATTCACCTTGCAAGCACCTAACATGATCATGCACATGAGGACAATATTAAAGACGAAGACAATTCACAAGTTTTCCCCCAAATCTGTTCTCCATAACGATGTAAGAGCCTCCCTGATATCATCGTTGACGCTCCGAGTATGAACGCCTTCAAGAACAAACTAGACGAAGCTATGCAGGAGCATATGTTCAGTCTTAAAATGCCTAGCAAATTGCGGACCAGGCAATAAGTCCAGCAGCTATCTCAATCAATCGTCAGCTATAGAAAGATCGGGTTCCAAAGGCCGGATTCCTTGTGAATCAAGTCACGAAAAGTTCAAGAATTGGCAACAGGCCATGGGCCTATTTCTTCATTGCCGACACTTCTATTCTATACCGATGTTCCCTATAACAATGTTCCCTATACCAATGTTCCCAATAACAATGTTCCCCCATAACAATGTTCCCCCATAACAATGTTCCTCCATAACAATGATCCCCCATAACAATGTGCCCAATAACAATGTTCCCTATACCAATGTTTCCCTATAAAAATGTTCCCCTATACCAATGTTCCCAATGACAATGTTTCCTATACCAATGTTCCCCTATAAAAATGTTCCCAATAACAATGTTCCCCATAACAATGTTCCCTCATAACAATGTTTCCCCATAACAATGGGCCAATAACAATGTTCCCTATACCAATGTTCCCCTATAAAAATGTTTCCCTATACCAATGTTCCCAATAACAATGTTTCCTATACCAATGTTCCCCTATAAAAATGTTCCCAATAACAATGTTCCCCCATAACAATGTTCCCTCATAACGATGTTCCTCCATAACGATGTTCCCGTGACTCCCCCACAGTCCGCGGGTGGTATAGGGCTGGGGCGGGTGAGGGGAGAGGCAGGCACGGTGGGTGCCCGGTACTCGTGGGTGCAATCTCACCCTCTCTTCTCCCTCAACTCCCTCACTGGAGCCCTCACCGTCGCTGCGGACGCTCCCACCGGCGGGTGAGATTATTTTTATTATTAGATTTTTAATAATTATAACCTAAGTTAAGTTCATCACCCAGGCGAGTGAAATTATTTCAACTTAACCTAATTTTAACCTAACTTAAGTTAGGTTAAACCTAACACAGGCGGGTGAAATTATTATAACCTAGCCTAATTTTAACCTAAACTTAAGTTATCACCCTGGCGGGTGAGATTATTTTAACCTAACCTAATGTTAACCTAAACTTAAGTTGATCACCCAACTGCAAGAGGAAATTATTATTATTTCTATTTCGTAATAATTATACTGGAAACTGGGGTTAATCAACCACCGGAACGTAAGATTATAATCATTCTACTCTTCCTAAGAAGTATAATTTAAACTTAGGTTGGTTAATCACCCGCGGAATGTAAGATTATTATTATTCTAATTTTCCTGATAGCTATAAGATTATTTCGTTTATAACTCCCAGCGTGTGAGATAACTATTATTATTAATTTCGTGAGTAACATACTCAAAATTTACGAATAACATAGCTAACGATTAAAATATCTGTACAGAATTAGATGAATATGACTTGAATAGAGAGATATTTGTTGTAAATCTAGTAATTGAACGTATTAGATTGCAACATGTAACAAAAGAACTATACTTCCAAAAATTGTAAAAGTTGGCATTTCATAATAGTTGCATCTCTCTTAGTTTAAAACATTAAATAATACACACTAATAATATAAGCTGCATAATATAACTCATTAACAATAATACAAGCTTTTTGTGTCACATTTACGAGGTGCAGGTGTTAGGAGAATGAGTTAGTAATTGACATGTGGGGATTGACATTATCGTTGAAACATTCATAAGTAACCTTATTAGTCTATATATTGTACACTAATAATATAAGCTATATAATATAACTAATCAACAATAATATCACACGTATGTTGTCACACCTACGAGGTGTAGGTGTTAGGAGTATGTGTTAGTAATTGACATGTGGGGATTGACATTATCATTGACACATTCAAGATTACCCCCCTAATTCTTAATAATACACACTAGTAATATAAGCTGAATAAACTGGAATTTAAAAGCAAAAACAATACCACAAAAATTCACCATATCTTTATAAGAGAAAACGTTTCGGAGTCCAGCTCCATCGTCAGTTCACAAAATTCAGTTCAGAAGAAGTTCAGATCTAGAAACACAAATACAATCAATTAGTAGAGTAAAAGGCACTGGTAGGTTTTAAAACGGAGAATAAATACATAAGACATGAAATTAACGCTAGTAAACGGCCTATCTATTTACTATTTCAAGAGGAACGGAGCTAAAAGCGGCATTTAGACTAGGCTTCTTCTTGAATATATATAGAGATTCTAAAATGCGTAGATCAGAAACACCGGATGCGGAAGCTAGAATTTTAAAATCATTATCGGATACAGAGGAGTTGCACTGCTCAGCATGAACACGTTCAGCAGAATGAGGTTGATGTGCAAGTAGGTTCCCCGTCCTATAACTCCTGCCCTTATGCTCAGCCAGCCTAGTATAGAAATTGCGTGACGTCATACCGACGTACGCTGATGCGCACTGCGCATAACTATATCTGTAAACTAGTGACGATCGCATAAGAACAGGTAGGGTATCGTTAAACCTGAAAAACGAGCTGATTCTAAAATTGTTAACTAGCAACACATAAAGATTTACATCCGGAAGATATTTAGCAAATAAAACGTTCAGTTCCTTTGACATAGCCTCAGATGCGGGGCCAAAGTAGGGAAAAGATCAGTAAACAACTTTCCTATTGTCACACTTGAGAACAACTGCAGTATAATACTTGGACATAAACTTCTTGAATTGGGTAAACACCAGATGCGATAAAAGCCATTTTGTGAAAAGATATTGCGCAACAATTCAAATTCAGAGTGCATGGCTAGAAAAGTAGAGCAAATGCGAGAGCCGCGGTTTATCAATGTTTGGATCCCATTTAATTTGAAGCGAAAGGAACAAAAGCCAAAAAAGCTGGTGCTCAAGCCGGTAAAGGTCGATTTTCTAAAAACAGAAGTTTGGAAACGGCCATCAGATTTGGTAACTTTGCAATCAAGGAAAGACAAGCTATTGTTTGATTCAAGCTCCATGGTGAATTTGATAGATTTGTGTTGGAGATTAAGATAGTAAAAGAACAGGCCCACATGTGAAGGATGCTTAAAAATCAAAAAAAGTATTATCAACATATCGGTTATAGAAAATTGGCTTAAAATCCAGAGGACAATTAGCCAACCATGTAGCCTCGTGAAAATACATAAATATATTGGCAAAGGTAGGGCCGAGTGGAAGCCTCATGCCCAAACCGTCAATTTGTCTGTAAAACTTGTCAGCAAATAGAAAAATTAAGTTTAGCACAGATAATTCAAGAAGAGGTTTGAAAAAATTGTGGTTAAAAGCCATGACAAGGTCATTGACATCTTTAAACAATGAATTAAGACATATATCGATGGTTTCAGAAAGAGGAATATTAGAGAATAAATTTTCTACATCAAAAGAGGCCATAGTCTTAACCGGCTTAAGCACCAGCTTTTTTAGTTTTTGTTCCTTTCGCTTCAAATTAAATGGGATCCAAACATTGATAAACCGCGGCTTTCGCATTTGCGCTACTTTTCTAGCCATGCGCTCTGAATTTGAATTGTTGCGCAATATCTTTTCACAAAATGGCTTTCCATCGCATCTGGTGTTTACCCAAATCAAGAAGTTTATGTCCAAGCAATATACTGCTGTTGTTCCCAAGTGTGACAATAGGAAAGTTGATTACTGTTCTTTTCCCTACTTTGGCCCCGCATCTGAGGCTATGTCTAAGGAACTGAAAGTTTTATTTGCTAAATATCTTCCGGATGTAAATCTTCATGTGTTGCTAGTTAACAATTTTAGAATCAGCTCGTTTCTCAGGTTTGAGGATACCCAACCTGTTCTTATGCGATCGTCACTAGTTTACAGATATAGTTGTGCGCAGTGCGCATCAGCGTACGTCGGTATGACGTCACGCAATTTCTATACTAGGCTGGCTGAGCATAAGGGCAGGAGTTATAGGACGGGGAACCTACTTGCACATCCACCACATTCTGCTGTACGTGTTCATGCCGAGCAGTGCAACACCTCTGCATCCGATAATGATTTTAAAATTCTACCTTCCGCATCCGGTGTTACTGATCTACGCATTTTAGAATCTCTATATATATTCAAGCAGCAGCCTAGTCTAAATGCCGCTTTTAGCTCCATTCCTCTTGAAATAGTAAATAGATAGGCCGTTTACTATCGTCAATTTTATGTCTTATGTATTTATTCTCCGTTTTAAAACCTAACAGTGCCTTTTACTCTACTAATTGATTGTATTTGTGTTTCTAGATCTGAACTTCTTCTGAACTGAATTTTGTGAACTGACGATGGAGCTGGACTCCGAAACGTATTCTCTTATAAAGATATGGTGAATGTTTGTGGTATTGCTTTTGCTTTTAAATTCCTGGTTAACTTGCGATTTAAGCAAACAAGTGCTTTTGAGCTGAATAAAATGACTAATTAATAATAATATCACGTGTTTGGTGCCACAGTTACGAGGTGCAGGTGTCAGTGAGTGATGTGACAGGCCCCTCAGTGGCCCTCAACA